TACATAATACTATATTATATGATATAGAGATTTTGAATGGAATTCACCATTACAATTATTCCGAATACTCGTATTACGTACAGGCGTCGTTAATGTAAAACAAAATAATATATTTGCATAATTAATTTAGAATCCATATAAACGTATAATATGTAACCAAAGGCGGCTATTCTTATACGATACATAATACGCAATAATTAAATTTGAACTAAAAAACATGCAAAGTTAAATTATTTAAATTTGTTTTCAATATGATTGTCATTAATTTTTTTTTTTTAGTAGATATAAATATGAGATATAGGTACGCATATAAATATCTTCACCAATTTTAATAAATTAAATTAATTGTATGGTTCCAAACAGTCACGGGGGTCTTGTCTGTCCTATCGCCAGTACGAGTGACCTACCGATTTCATAATCTACACTTAAAAAAAATGAATATTATAATCGTTTTCTTCTATTTCGATCCCATATTTCGTACCTTTCAACGTGATCCTGCTCCTATAGTTTTTCGATAACTTTCTTGACAGACATTTTCCCACCTGTTTAACGGTAAAAAAGAAAAAAAAAGTTTTACGATATTTTATACCGCGTCCGACCCAGAATAATATATTGGACCGTTATTATACTGCAGTTAGGTGTATTCAATTAGGCTATACATCCGTGTATAATGACATCTGATTGATAGGAGGAAAACGCGTGCAACCGTGTTCCATTATTATATTATTATATTTTATGTTTTTTTGCTCTCTTATTATTATTGTCGTATTTTATTATGATTCGCGATTGTTATATTATTATGTTATTTGTATGTGTGCCGATATTTCACGACCAATTTGAGTGAAACTATATGACGGTGAGAATGGAATATTATTATATTATATATCTATTACGGACAAGCGGATTTTTAGATTTCAATTTGCGATGTCTTTATTTTTTTTTTTTTTTTTTTTTTTTTGTCGGCAACTAATCGCTGTGTTAGCTACACTCACAGACTAAACGAGAAGTGTATACTACCTGTATATAATATAATACACACTTGTAATAATACGATGGAAAATGTGTCGTTTTTATTTGTCACCGTATAAACTCGAATATATATATACGACATGTATTAACTCAATTGATCAACAAAATTATATTAACACGGCCCCGCTGTATATTATTGTAAAGAATTTCAACTTGATTTTTTATTATTTGTTACAATAATAAAAATGAAATAGCGATTATTAAAAAAAAAAAAAAAAAGGAGGCGTGATGGATTGAATACATCATAGAGAGACCGCACGCCAAACATTCGTCCTGCTTCGATGTTAGGCTACCGCAGTAATATGTATACCTACCTTTAATTGAAATGTGTCGTTTTAATGCTGAATTTGTTGAGATACGGAGAAAAAGCCATTCGATTTCTCTAAAGTTGTACAATTTCTGACTTGTAGACAAATGCGTATTAACGTACTGCGTAAAACACTACAAGAAACACTTCTGGCGGAAAAATGATTTTTGGGAAGAAATCTATAGAAATAGTTCACCAAAAGTTGCGTGAATTCTTTAAAATCATTAAGATAGTATACATATTATTTATCAGTAGTTTTCGTGAAAATGTCGGAAAACCATAAACTATAGGCAATTTATGTTGGTATTTTGATGTTGAAGTTTAGATAGTAACAACTATAAATAGTTTATTTTAGTATTTTACAAAAAAAATCTAAAGTTGTGTGATGCGTTATAAATAAATAATGGGTTTTGCATGAAATGCATATCGGTATTTTCTGCACAAAACGAGTATACATGCAATCAATGAGTGTCCATATACATCATTACTTGATTGATTAAATAACAAAATGTTATATTGCATATTTTTGCATATTTGATCACTATAAACTATAAGTACACAAACACACCCCGAAAAGATGAATATGGAATACACTTTGGTAATTTGTTGTTTTTCCAATTGACATGACATTTTGTTCGTATTTCATTCAAGTTAACAATGTACTAAATTAGATTACTAAAATACTATTTAGTTAGTTTTCGCAATATATTAAATAGCAAAAACAAAATATATTCTTAGATAATTGCAGTTCTTAGTTTACAGATTTTAATTTACTATGTATAATTTAAAATGCTCATACTAAAAGCAATTAAATATTAAATTATTGTACTGCATAATATGTATGCTATATTATGTATTTTAATTTTTACTTACGCAAATTATAATAATTAATAATTTACACTTCAAAATTACGAAATACAATAAAAAAAAAAAAAAACATAATAACATTTTTAATTTTATCCTTCATATTTCGTAACTTTTTCTTGCATATTTTAAATTATTTTAGTGCTTGTCTGCATGCATATCTAACAATTATTAGTGCATATAAATCCGGTCTTTAATTATAAATTATGTTTGGATATATATGCGCAGTTAATGTATTTTTGTAAAATATCTCAGAGGATCTATCTGGATTGTTGGATGACGGCCTTACCCAATAGTGGGAATTATTACGGACGTTTGTTTTTCGATTATTATTTTCACGATTGCGACATAATATTTAGTCGCCGAACAAACGGAATGTTTGGATTCAGTTCACGTATCGTCGTCGGGTGGAAAACTGTCATCGTGGCCTTGTAAAACAAAGGGAAAATCCGGAAGGTATACTATAATCTTTTTGCCGGAAACAATAATAATAATAATATAATATAATATTGGTGGACGCGTATATACATAGCGGGGGGGCGAACAAAGGTGCCTAAGGATATTTATAATATATATATATATATATATAAAGGTACGGGGGAAAAAAAAAATGTATGAGAAAAAACGAATTGACATAGCCTTTAGGGATTGTAACATTCGGAATAGATGACCCCTCAAGGCCAGTAACAATTGCTCCCTAGCCGCTGCCAAGGGTCACGGGAAGAAATGTGCGCGCACACACGAGAGAGGTATGTTCGAGAGAAAGAGCGAAAAAGCGACGCGAGAGAGACAGAGAGAGAGCAAAAGCACACAGAAGAAAGGAAAATGTAGAAAAGAACGGGGAGACGTCCAAAATAAGAGGATTTGAATGTCTGGACCCCATCCAGTGTCCGTGTATATATGATGACGTGTCGGTTTTTGGGGTCTGTCAGCCGGACCAAGACCGATCGGAATACCAAAGCGTTTAAAAGCCCGGGGAGCTTTATACATAAGGGATAATCGCCCTTTCGGTTTATTTCGAACGTTTACGAGTGGAAAAGGATATGGGTTTTTCCTTTGGCAACACGGCCGACCGACGGGAGAGGGAATAAACGCCGTTTGATCGCTTATTGCAATATTATATATACCTTTGAGAATTTAACATCAATTGCGCATTTAACTCGCTCACGTTAGAAACGATTTGGTAACAGTATAATACTAATATTTAGATGGAAGTGTGTTTTACCGTAAAAAAACAATATTTAAATGCTTCCACACAGTTAATTGAATAATCCATGTAGCAATGAATACAGTTAATTGATTAGAACAGGTATGTGTGTTTTTTTTTTTTAATTGTATTTTCGTTATCAGTTATGTAGTAAAAATATATACTTGGGAAGATATTATAAAATTCAACCTAAAATATAAAATTAAATACTGGGTACTCAACTAAAACGTATTATTTTAAATGAAAGTATCTCTATTTACCTATTTATAACAATTTTGAATATTAATAAACTACCGTGTAATATACTGTCTCCCTATCCCATTTTAGGATATTTAGCAAAAAAAAAGAATAGTAAATACTTCTATACGCTTATTAATTTTTTGTATTAGATTCGGAGCGTAGCAAGAGATCTATTGGTTTTACTTTAACATTGTATGCTTTTTTTTCCTGTCTGTAAATAACTTTGTTTAAAAGAAATTTTGTTTAATTGCTGCATTAAAGAGATAATTTTTTGATTTCCCGAGGGATTTTCGAAATAATTGGGAAAAACCGATGAAAAATTATAGGTAAAATGACAAATATTTACCGCGGAGTTGCCGATTTCAGTTTTCAATATTTGCAATTTTTGTTTTCTGTCAGTAATATTACTCCAATCAAAAAATGACAAGAGATTGATTTCGTTTCTTTTAATGTATAGCCGCTGCCAGAGAAAGTTGTTTTTTGGTATTTAAAGTATTCTAGATAATTAAACATACACGTTTTTATACAGATTATTTTTCAAAATTTCTAATTTGTGGTCCTGAACATATTGCATAAAAAAATGTTTACTAGTCTTGTTAAAATATAACTACAATAATTATTTATTAAAGTAAAACGAATATTATAATATCGTCACTCGAGAATGTAAAGGTTTTATCTAATGCTTTTTCAAAAAAAAAACCATTTCTTAACATATTGTTCTTTTTCATTGCCTATTATTAAGCTTACTACGAAGTTTCCATCTTAATAATCCACCAAAATACTCAAAATGAAATGGTTCTAAATTGTGAAAAAAAAATTATCGCCTCTAAACAAAATAGAGTCTCTCTAAAGTGCATTATTATTTGAGTTTAAAACGGTTATATTTTATGATATTCACACAATTATTTTGAAAATACAAAGCTTATTAAAATAAAATTATTGATAATAAATGCTATGAACAAATCACTATAAAAACGGTTCTATCCGAAAACAGTAATTCCGAAAAGTTTTCATCTCTAGATTATAATTTTGTTTATCAATACGACATTATTGGTTTAATCTATAGTCATCGAAATCGAATTAAATCAAAAAGCACAACTTTGTCTCCCTTATTTAAAATTAAATAATAGTTTTCGGTATTGAAAAAATTCTTCTTCTGAACAATTTCAAAACAGCGACCAAGAACCTTTTCACTTTCAGGCGATGATAAAAATTACTATCACTAATTTAAATAAATTTATGTCGAAATTTGAGGTATAAATACAAATATGATTTTACCATTTAAAATATCAATCTCTTTTAATGAGTTCATATAGGCTTTCCAACGAGTATAACTAATATTAATTTTTCGCGATGTTGCTTTACACGACGCGATCAAAGAATTCCGGTCCGGCAATCGCATCACCGTATAATATATCTGCACGTCGGGCTGTCGCGCGGCATGTGATTTGTGACACGGCGTGTTCTGCTGCAGTGTTAGATACGTTGCCAAATCTGATAACTAAAAAAAAAAAAAAAAAATCGATCAGCGAATGTATAAGATGTGGACCTGCTGTAACACGGTGCGGTGGTAGTGGTGGTAGTAGGGAGTTTGTCGGTGGAAAACATGAATAAAAGAAAACTTCTATCGCCGTCGTCGCCGCCGCCTCCGTGACTAGTCACAGTCGAAGGAGTATGGCAGTGGCTCTCCGACAAATTTCTTTACGCTCAATATGTATTTATTCTTAGATCGTCGTCGCCGACGTCGTTGCAAAAAGTTCAAAGGTCCCAACCAGATACGCCGCATGAATAAAGCATCGCCGCCGGTTCCCCTCGGCCGGGTGCAAATCCCTTTTGTGCAAAAGCCACTCCTTTCGCTTCTTGGTCCCTCCCTGAGGATTTTGCACGAATATATATATATATACATATGTATACGTGTGTGCTGCGAGTGACACGAAACACGAGTTCTGTCAACGCGAATAAAAATTCGTGTTCCGTGATATTATTATATTATTATACGTTTATACATAATGTTCAATCGGTATGGCACACACCAATAATTGTTCGCTCCCGAATCACGGTCATGCCATATAATAATATAATCCATATATAATATCAATCGGTTTTCGATCGTTGTTTGAGATTCTGCGCAGAACGACGAATAAAACTTTCACACCTTATAGTTATCTTATTTTATTGTTACCTTCTATTCATTTCAAGGGGCAACGGTCTTTAAGACCGGCACTTTTAGTAAATATTCCTCCATCTATATTGGTCTTCCACTGCTTCTCACTATTGTACTCTATAGGTTTCACTGCTCCTACATCCTTAACACAACCATTCCATATTATTAAGTGAGGTATTCCTAGTGATCGATTTCTTGTTGGGTTGTCTTCGATTGCAATCCTTATTATTGGTACCTGTTTTTCTACCCATTTCATTCTTCTTCCCAAAAGTTATTTTGTGATGAAAACGATTCTGGAGTTCTCGATTATATATTATCTTCCATTCCCCAGTTCGAGCATCACCTTTGCATGAGCCAACAATGTTTTCCAGAATTTTTCTTCCGAAAATATTTTGCGTTGTTCTTCTATTTTCTTAAGAGACTATGTGTCTGAGTAAAATAACAACACTGGACGTATTTACGTCAGGTATATCTGAACTTTGAAATTTATTGATATAGCTTTTGAGCTTAACAGTTTCCCTAGAACATAGTACCAGCTATTACCATTGTTTTAGTCAGATATTAATCTCGACCTTTATGTTGTTGTCATACTATATAGCAGTGGTTCTCAACTTTTGTGTGTTGGTGACTCAAAATATTTACCCAATTTTTCATGCGACCTTTTTGAAAATTAATTTTCAATAGGGAGCTACCCATCCTAACCTAATCTATTTAATATTCAGTTACCATAGCTAAAAGAAACTATAACTCTCGTTTATTTTTGAAGTAATATACATGACTAAACAGGTACCTTGTGAAATTTACAATAATGATAATTGATACCAAAAATAACGTTGGTCAACAACTTATTAAATTTAGTCGTTTCCGTGAATGTCGACCGATAAAGTACATTTATAGCATTGAAAGAATTAAATCCAAAATAATGAATTTATACCAGTATTTTAAGAAAAAAAATGTTTGATTCATTGTTTTTAAAACTATTTCATATAGGTAGTCTAACTAAAATTATAATACTATATCAACGGTTTAATTTTTTCGCGACCCATTCAAAATTATCGGCCACCCAATTTTGGGTCACGGCCCTATGGTTGAGAAACGTTTCTGTATTGTAAATGCCTGTAGCAATAAATTAAGCCATACGGATTTTCCACCAGGTGATTGCAGGTACTTTGAAACGTTTTACTATATAGATTCCAAAAGTTTCACCCTCTTGTTTATACTTGAATTTTGATCATTATTATTATTATTTTTATTGGTTTCTGGATTCCGACGTAGTTATTTTCTAATAATTCTTCACTCTCCCTCTGTTTCTCTCTTTCTAATTATATTTATCTCGTTTTATATAAATCCCGCGCGTGTGTAGCTATTAAAATCCCGGCCATCGTGACATGGAGGATATATTACTATCATATTATTATTATTATATAGTGGAAATTCGGCCAGGCGGACAAAATGCTCGTGGGCACGGGGATGGCCCATGTATATATAAAAAAAAAAAAGAAAAGCCTTACCGCCTTGATTGGCTTCGTGTGCGCGCGTTAGGGAAAGATAATATGTATGTATGTGTATGTGTGTGTGTGTGTGTGTGTGTGTGTGTGTGTGTATGTGTGTGTGGACTGTCCGGCCGGAGATATCATTCCAATTATAGCTGACCCTAGGATTGGCAAAGGTCCGGGTAGTGGCGGTGGCGATAGAGGATACGGTAAGAGGGATTCGAGGGACGAACACCCGTCGTCGCCGTAGCAAAGGGACGGAAAGAATTTTTTTCGAAACGAGGGAACGTGCCACTATAATATAGCGAGGCTGAGCTTTTCGGCGAGTCCCGCGATTAGCAAAAACTATACCGGATGTGTCGTATATGCGATGTAGGTAATGAAGGTTCTTTATACCCGATATATATATATATATATATATGACAAATGGAGAGGGGTATAGACGTAATCCTATATATATATATATTTCGTCGCCGTGGCTGGTACGCATTATTTTCAGTGCAGACTTTTCCTTTTCGTGCAGATGCTGTGTGCAATTATACGGTAGCTGCTGCAGCTTTCGTCAAATCTCGTTACAAATTTAATACTTCACTGCAGCGCGATCGTAATTTAATACTATTTCATCGATACCGTATTGGGGTTGATTCTTTTTATATATTATATTATTAGGTACAGTGGTAACTGGTAATAATGTACATTTCTCTTTCTCGTAACACCGTAATAATCGAGATCAATTTCATTTTAAACATCCCTCTAAACCCTAACCAACTATATGATATATATAATTATTAATTTTTCGCAAGCCATCGTCATACATGTAACGCAATTAATGTAATGCAACAAAACATTTATGGAGTAAGAATAAGAATACAACATGACCTAGATGGAAGGTCGTTTTCTCCGGAAATTTTCCTGTATCGGTTATGATGGGTTAGCCAATGGGCATACTTAATACTGTGGCGCTTACCCACTGGCGTATTTTATAATATAGTTATTAATTTAAAAAAAAAATTTTGATATTCGAGATTTTGAAATATATATATATGCATATAAACTTATTATTATGTAAATATTGTAGAGAAAAAATACGATTAGCATCGTTTTGTGTAATATTATACTATATACCGTTGTTTTTTTTCTTTCTAATTTTATGATTTTTATTGAGGTGATAAAGTACACCTATCGGGACGTTTATAAGCTTTACACTTTTAGCCCCTTATAAACTTTTGGCGTTAAAATATAACGGTGGCTATTATGCTACAGCTTAACACGTTAGGTACCCCGCAGTGGATCCGTATCGGATTTCCGTTCGTTCATTGCAGGGCCGTCTTTCTCGATTTGGCGATTTTAAAAGAATATAAGAAAACGATGATGATGCTAGAAATAAAAGTATTTAAGTATCTTACGGTGTATGTACATTTACGCTCTACATTACTTTGCAGTGCGAAACACATCAGCGATAACCTGCAAGGTTATGTAATCGCGTCTAATACTTTAAAGATATACCTGAGCCATTACGCACTCATTCTTGAGTGTGTATTTTATAATTAAGAACGCGTCATAAGTATATTATGCATTTTAAACAACGTTTTTGACGAACAACAAAATAAGACACATTGTTTTTTTTAAATGTTTACATTTTTATTTATCATTTTACATAATTTGTGCGTTTCGATTGTTATGTCTACAGTGGGTGTAGTATACGTAATGTTGCGTTATTTTTCGTAGTCGGTTATTTACGGTTTTACAAAGAAAATTTATATAATACAAAATGGGTGGGAGAAAATTCGACATTAATGATCTCCGTCATAATGAATAGCTCTGCTACTCATGGATGTTTTTTTTTCTATTGTTATTTTATTTATTTTACAGTTAATTTTCTGCAATATCTTCGTCTTTCTATATTTTCGACAAAACATTAACGATATACAGTTATTTAAGATCGGTAAAAATACATTTTAAAAATATTGTAGCATTTAACATAAAATCATCTTTTTTACTAATAAGACACTATCGACCGTAATTCGGTTATTTGCAGCAGACACACACACGCACACATAATGACATTAATATAAATAACTAAAGCAGAAGCCGTTATAACAGGTTCGTAAATGAAAAAAAAAAAAATAATAATAATAAAATACGTAAAACTATATTATTGTAATATCGATATTTCTGAATTATATCGACAGTTATGCTTAATATTCAATAAATACGGTTTCGATCGTGCGCGTTTTACTTATTTGTTCATAAAACCGCTTATAGACTGCGGTCGAGTCTTCGCTGTACCTCCATAATAACAATACGCCATTCGCGAATATCGCCCTTAGCCCCCGTCCCAATACGGTCCGTCGTATCTGACCGCAGTTGCCGGGCGGCGCGGTTCTGAGGTACAAGGTACCTGCGGTAAATGTCGATCAGCCGGCGACTGGCGGCGGCCGACAACCCGAACTCGATAACAATAATTGCCGCGGACGAAAAATATATAATATGTCGGTAAAATGGACGCACGGACGGATACGGCGGACGTGATCTACATTTAAGTGCATTTTTTTTTTTCTCTCGTTCTTTTGCCCTTCCGATTTATTACACGTGTCTAATATAATAATAATAATAATAATAATAATATAACGTATACTTATATCTGTATACCCACGAGATAGGTACCTATCTCGTATTATAATGCTTTTATTCGTTTTTGGATTCTTTCGCGTTTCCTATTCGTGACCGTTGAAAACATATAATATATATAAATAACAATACTACTGCTCGCTTCTATACACTAATAAATGATGATAGTAGTAATAATAATAATAATAATAATAATAATAATAATAATAATGACTGAATAAAGGAGAAGAAAATCGAAATAGACGTTAATTTAATATGGTCGTTTTTTTTCGCTTCCATCTCACGGCGTCGTCGTTGTTATCCCTCCCATCGTTTTGTTCATAATAATATATTATTCGTGTGTATTATATTTTGTAGTCGTAATAATATGATTGATAAAAACGTTTCCAATTCCTCCGCCAGAATGAGGTTATCGCATCTTTATATTATTATTATGCCGTTTTCGATTATTCGTTATGCTTTCTGTGTAGGTGGTCGGGGGGAATAGGAGGGAATATTATCGGA